ATGTAAACATAAGTGAAGCTTTTATAAAGGAATTTTGGGAAACACATTTCTATTCCTTTCTCCCTTTCTCCCAAAGATCCCTTCTTTGGGTTATTCTGCCTTGAGCTTAATACACTAAATCAGGGATCACTAAACTTTTCCAGTGAAGGGCTAGATAGCAATAATTTAGACTTTATGGGCCCTGAGATCGCTGTTACAATGCAAACAGAGTCACAGATGGTGCATAAATTAACATGCATGACTGTTTTAATAAAACTGCATTTGTTAAAATAGGTGGTAGGTTGAAACTGGCCAGTGACCACAGTTTGCTGACCCTGCCTTAAACCCGCCCTGACTATATCTGTCATCACTGGATCCTCTTAGGGAACAATCACTCTGGCCAACACCGATGTCTGATGTATTCAAGTTAGTTAGCTTCAGCAAGATAAAGGCCACTCCAGTTAACAGGACAGGACCCACTCTCCTCAGTAGGTAGTTTCACTGCCAGTTTTATTGCTTTAAAATACCCTGGGAGTATTTTTATAGCAAGAGGTTTTTTTGTTTATTTTTAAAGATTTCTTTCTACTACATACAGTGATCATCACAAGAAAAGTTTAGATAAGTACTACAAATATATCTCCATCTGCATAAGCAATAGTATTTCTGCAGCGTATAGCCATATTTGAGGTTAGAAAGAGGGTTCAATCAAGGGATTTAAAAAATGAGTCTTCACGGTAACATTCTCCTCTTTATGAGCTTCAGTTTTCTCATCTACAAAGTAGGGGTAGGATTTCACCTGCCCAAAGGCCAGAGTCTGGACAAGATGATCCCTTCTAGGTTCTTTCTAGAAACTGGAGAAGTTATTTCCCTAAACCAATGATTTCCAAATGGTTTCAGAAGTCGGAATTCCCTTGGGTGCTTGTTAAAACACAGATTACTATACCCCAGCATGAGTTTCTAACTCAGTAGGTGTAGAGTGGAGCCCAAGAATTTGCAGTGCCAGCCACTAAGTTCTGCTATTACTGGTTCAGGGACCACGTTTGGGAACCACTAGTTGTCTACATGATAGCAATCTCAGCCTCTTTTACGGGGAAACAATGGAGAGTAGGGGGATCCAAGAGCTGGCTCCTATTCATGTTTTTAAATGGGATTCCTTCTTGAAGGGATGAGAGATTAGGTCTGTTTGCTCACTGAGTCTCAGACGCTGCAGCCACTCCTCAGCAACTACAGGCTGAAAGGAGGCTGGTGGTGACTTCCAAGCAGCTGTGGTGGAACGTAAAAGCCAATGGGTGGGCCATCTGGAGCAGGACAGGGAAAGGTCAGGGACAACCTATGCCATCACACAGTTCTTTTGCATAAGCCAAACTTCTAGAACTTTCTCTTTCTATAAACATAAAATCAACTCAATCATTGAGTGCACATTGACCATAGGTAGCCCCTGCATCAAGTAATACAGGGTGAGATGAGAGGATTCAGAAGCCTAGAAAAGTGCAGACTGCCTTCAGGAACTCTTAATCTTATGGGAGAGGCAAAATTCACACATGTTCACACAGTTGACAGACGTCAAGACAAGCAGATAATGAGATGCAGCGTTACGTGGCATGAAGACAGTGGGCTCTGGAGTGAGGATGCTGGTGGACCTGAGAGGTCCAGATGGGCTTTCCCAGAGGATGGAGACAGGCTGGCAGGAGCCTCCAGGGACAGGAAGGGTATGAAGTTGTGGAAGGGCGAGGAGAACCTGACAAGAAGCCTGAATGTGCCTGAAACATCAGTAGGAAGGGGATGAGACCGAGCACAGAGACTTCTAAGTTGTCTCTACCCCTCTCCGGGGAAACTCCCCCACCCCACTCCATCCCAGTCACTTCCATTCCTTTGTCTCGGTTTCCTGGTTTGAGGATTAAGGGTTTTGAGCTAAATCACAAGTTTCCCAATGTTGTTCCACCTTGGAGAGACCTCTGGTTATTACGTGGTGAATGAGCAGTCTGCAATCAGCCCTTCTTCTCCTGACTCTGCTCTAGCTGGAGAACTCCACTTTCATGACTTTTTACACCCACTCTACAGCTGTGCTTCCAGAAAGGATTTTAAAATCACTCAACAAGAAGCTCTGTAAAAACTCTTTCCATTTGTGCACTGGGCGGCTGAACAGAGAGGAGAAAAAAGCCAGTTAGCCCAAGAGATGGGACCACCAGGTGACTGGGCCGGGCTAGCTTCAGGCACCGCTTGACAGCAGACCAGAGTTCAGACCAACGGGGCTGGGAAACAGGGAACCACGGGTGGCTCAACAGCAGAGCAGTGCCATGTGGGAAGGAGCGAAACTGGGTCCGCAGGCCGACAGGGAACCGGACTGATGTGAAAATCTCAACTGCTCAGAAGGTTTTGAATAAAAACAAAATAAAAATCTTTGAATAAAAAACAAAGATTTTTTTTTTCCCCCTTGTCAGCCTTCCCTCTCAGGACATTACACTGTATGCAAAACGTGTGACTGTAAGACAAACATTTTTTTCCACTGCCCTTCTGAGCCCCGCAGGCCTTCAGGAAGACCTGCACTTCAAGCAAAGTCTTTATTTTTCAACACCCACAGCTTCCATTCAACAATCAGAAGTTTTCCACTTTCATCAAAGAGACTGCAGAGAAAGGCCGAGGGAGCAGCCCGTTCTCAGCGGCTCTGGGCAGACGACAGAGCCCTCTGCTTCCCACTCACTGCCCCGGGCCCACCACGGGACACAGTCTTCTCCCTGAATCAGCCAGGTGCGTACCCCCAAAGACACTGGCTTGCTTTATTCCCACCTCAGTGACAGATCCAATGGATGTGTGCACCCGCTTCTTTCAAAACCAAGTCCCACTTGGGATCAAGGGGATCTCATCTTCCTTGTCTATGGTACACTTGAAGGCGGGAGGAAAAGGGGATGACAGAAGATGAGGTGGTTGGATGGCATCACCGACTCAATGGACATAAGTTTGAGTAAGCTCCAGGAGCTGGTGATAGATAGGGAAGCCTGGCATGCTGCAGTCCATGGGGTTGCCAAGAGACACGACTGAGAGACCGAACTGAACTGATGGTACATTTTATACCACTCTATGTGGCCGCTCCCAAAATTTACCTCTTTTTGGCTCTTCCATCTCCAGGATCCCTATGATTTTATGGATTCACTGGGAAGGAATATCCAGACCAGTTCTTAAGAGTGACCCAAGTCAGGTGATGCTCAGTAGTGAGGTTTCTGCAAAGACTAAAGTCGCAGTAATCCAAGCTCAGCTCTGGACACAGAACAGTTCCTTGGGGGGCTCTGGGATTTCTGTGGGCTCGCAGAGATACCCAGCAGCTGAAAAGCGAGCAGAAAGGGGAGAGGTGCTGCAAAGGACTGGGTACTTCCAAACGAACTTTTCAAAGAGCTACATCCGGAGGCACCGGTTATACAGTGATTTACTTTTTAAATGGTCTTTTGAAATGGAGATGATTAGTAGCCACAGATGTGGCCAGCTCTGCCTGCCTTGAGAATCTATCCACTCTGTCTAGATTCCAGACTATTTGGAACATTTAACCAGAATGGTCCAATACCCTCTGCCAAGTCTCTTCCCATTCAAGAAGTACTCTTATATCTATCATGCTCTCATTTGATCCTTATGGTGGCTGTCAGTGCAGACAGGGAGAAAACGAGAGAGGCCAAGACCACAAGGGCTGGGCAGAGGCTGAGAGAGGACCTCAGGTTTTCAGCCTTCTCGTACAACGACAGTAGCAGGGATTCCGGGGCCAGCAGGGTTTAACTATATACCCAAGTGATTCCACTGATCAACATTTGCAACACAGTCTCTATCCTCTCTGATTCTCAATTTTCCCCTATCTGTAAAACTTAGCTGCCTCAGAGGGCAGAGGTGAGGATGAAGTGAGGCACTGTGTCAATCTGAGACAGAAGAGGCTCGACTGTAGTAGTCACACACACATGCGCACACACACACACACAGCACATACGATATACAACACGCGCCACACAGCATGAAGATACACCTCACATGCACAGCACACATGTACCACACACCCACCACCCCCATGCACACACCACACAGGACACGCACGCCCCGACACTCTTCCCCATGCCACTTCCCTACCCCCACCCTCGCTGCCAACTCCTTCCCCTTTTTCTGAGCTTTACAGCACACCCAACTTTATATGCAAATTTAACAGATCCCAATATACTCTGGAGGATTTTTTTTTGTTCAAAAGATCGGTGTTGCCAGTTTGCTGCTCTCGGACAGTATCTCTGAACCTGTCCCCCAATTTCATCCTGCTATCAAGCTTGTCTCCCTGTGGAGAAACTTCCACATTTGTGGGCTCTTCCTTGCCAGAGATCTGGTAGCATTTCCATTTCTTAAGAGGAGCCAATATCATCAACCCCTCAGTCCAAGGGATCCAGCCTCCCTGTGTGCTAAGTCGCTTCAGTCGTGTCTGACTCTGTGTGACCCTGTGGACGGTAGCCCACCAGGCTCCTCTGTCCATGGGATTCTCCAGGCAAGAGTACTGGAGTGGGGTCGCCATGCCCTCCAGGCCCAGCAAAGAGATATTTTCTGATGAGGACTTCTGAGCCGCAGGCCCCGCTGAGGAGAATGTGCAGCTTCTCAAGCCGGAAGGCGTTTTGTGGCTGAGTCTGACTGAAACAGAAGTTGCTCTGTGTGTACGCGCGCGCGCGCACACACACACACACACACACACACACACACACAGCAGCGTAGGGAAACCGTCATTTTCCTACTCGCCCTCTGACATCAGCCACCTTCTCTATAGCTACAGTTTCTCTTCAGTCAAACTGATCCCTGGCGATGAAAAATGAGCCTGTCCCCCACCCGTCCTGCCGCCTTTCGCCTCACGCCCCCAGAGAAGAGTTTCTTCGTGAGGCAGCCGGTGAAGGTTTTTTTCCAAGTCACATGATCCAGGATGCAGGGGAAGAATCCTTCTTGGAACAGAGATGGGCCCAGAACCGAATCAGATGAGGAGAGATAAGGTGTGATGTGGGGAAGCCTATATAAGAATGGACGCAGGGCTGCCGCGAGCACTCAACCCACTGGCCCCGTCTCACGACACAGCCATGCATGTGCCCGCAGGCTCCGTCACCAGCCACTGGGGAGCCACGGGCCGCGGTTATTTCTGCTTCACCACGGCCTCGCTGGCTCTGTGTCTCGTCTTTGCTGTGGCGACCATAATGGTGTTGGTAGTTCAGAAGACGGTAAGTGGACTTCTCTTCTTTGCCTTTCCTTTCTGATTTATGTTCAGTTTTCTCCACAGAGACTTGGGGATAAACAAAACAAAGAGCCGATATCAAGAGAGAGAGGGAGCAAAGAAACGGGAAACTCAAACCTCTGAAATAATTTGGCTTTTTGAGGGAAAATTTTGTTGAGCCATCACCTACAAACTTTCTATATACACGTGAGCCAAAGAAGGGAGAGGAGCTATTAGCCTTGAGAAATTTTCCGAGAGGAATGGGATATATATATATATACACACATACATATAGTGGATTCACTTCATTGTACAGCAGAAATGAACACAAGACTTTAAAGAAATTAAACTGCAATAAAAAATAATAATAAATGTTGCTAAACTAAAGACTTCTATTACAGATGGAAGAGATAAGGAAACTTAATGACACATTTGTACAACCAGTATCATGTCTTTGATGACTTCAGACCAGATTCCAAGATTCCGTATTCTCAGTCCAAACGTTCCTGAGATTTCAGAGGCCTTGGCCAGAGCGAAGCACTTTTTTAGCCAGGAGCTAAGTTTCAGAGGCAAGGACAGGAAAGGGAGTGAGGAAAGGAGGCCAGAGAGAAGACCCAGGCTCTTCAGAGCCTGGGCATGTCAGTGTTAAAGCTCACAAGACAAGTTCAAAGCTTCCTCCGGAGCCACTGCTTTGAAGGGCCTAGTGTGAACAAAAACACAGCGCACCGAAGCAGAATGTAGAAATGTTTTTCACACCTGTTCCCTCAGAGACTGCTCAGAACTCTAAAGCTACAAGCGATTATGGGTACACACTGTGAAGTTAAGAGGTCTCAGGAAATTTACCTTTTTTTCTTTTTAAAGTAAAGGGTAAGAATTACTATGAAAACAGAGGAGGTAAAGGAGGAAGCTTCTTCATATTTTAGGAAATTGGTGTTTACAGCAAATCCACCAGGATGTATTTTAGAGAAAATACTGTACTCATAGTATATATTGCTCATGAATTTTTTAATGAAGTAATTTCGATAGTTTAAGAACTGTACCCCCAGTACTACCACCCTTTCAAAGTACATACATTTCTATGTATTCCTTCAAAGCTCTTATTTTTCATAGTATTGCAATCCTGCAGAATTTGTTCTGGTTTCCTTCAGTTGTCTTAGGTTGAATGCTCTTTACCTTATTGATTGCTAAAAAGAACCAGGCTTTAAAAGGCTTTGGTATCTGCTTAAGTGTCCTCAAGAACTGACATTTAAATGAAGCTTTGAAACTCATACCTCCATAAAAGTGAAAGATAACAGAATTGCTAGCATTTGAGACTTAGATTATAAAGTTTATGAAACTCATCATTTATTGGGCTCATCTACACCTACTAGGAATAACACACTTGAGAATATTCTAGGACCCTTTTTATTCTGTACAGACTCTATAACTTCTATAATTCTAATCTGAAGTAAACCAGAGGTGTATAATTTTACAGCAAGAGCCAAATAAAAGAAATTAAAGTGGCCTTCGAAAATGTCTTTAGTTAAAGGTTGTAGCTAGAACTGGTATGAGAGAGAGAGAAGGAAGGAAAGAAAAGGGAAAACGAGAGAGAGAAAGACATGATAGTGGTACATGGTGTGGTGGTAACATATAAAGCTAGAAAGAGGTCCAGAATGGTCCTAATTCAAGTTCCATATTTGGTGGAATTGACTCTTTCCATGAAGGAACTGGAGTGGATCTTTCTGCCTCAGTTTTGTAAGTGTGGAAAATGAGGAACAGAAAGGGGACAGGGCTTGACCTGAGGAGTCCTGAGAAAGTGGTAGTCAAGACTGCTTGGCTATTTAATGAGGACACTGTTCCCTTTGAGGACACAGACAGCCACAGAAGCACTGAAAAAAACTCTGTTCCTCCTCTTCTCTTGGGAGTGTGACCTTCCTGGCATCCAATTCCTTGACTTCCCCTCATTCTGGGAGATGAAAAGATTCACTTCACAATCTGACTCTAGGGTTTGATGTACTATGATTTCTTAGCCTGAGAAATATCAGTTACTTGCTTAAAAGTATTGTGATACACAAGTTAAGTGTTTTACACATATCATTTCCAATAATTTGTTCAGATATTAACTGTCAGAAAAACTAAGAAGAGAGCGTTATCTCCTTGAACTTGAGCTATCAGGAAAGACTTCCTGCGGGAAGAGGCTTTAGTACAGGTACAACTTAGACAAATGAAGCGACTCTTAACAGGACTCCCGATAAAGAAATCAATGGGAGATACCTAAGGACCTTAAACTCATATCCCAATTATTAAAAGTGAAGTGGATTGATGGCCACCCAGCAGTCTTGTGAGGGTGGATAGGGGCAAGGGTAAGAACCATGAGCTGGTTCTACTGGCCTAAGAAGTCCCCACCATTACTGTGTGTGTGCTCAGTCATGTCTGACTCTTTGCATCCCCATAGACAGTAGCCCCCCAGGCTCCTCTGTCCATGAAATTTTCCAGGCAAGAATACTGGAGTGAGTTGCCATTTTCCCCTTCAGGGGAATCTTCCTGACCAGGGATTGAACCTGAATCTTCTGCATTGATAGGTAGATTCTTAACCACTAAGCTACCTGGGAAGCGCCCAGAAGTCACAGTTCTAAATAAAAGACACATGTACAGACAAAATTGAAACCAAAATTAACTTATAATATATAATAAGTGATGAAATGTAGAAACATAGGGCTACCATGAAACCACAAGTTAAGGAGATGGAATATTTCCCCAGGCAGATCTAAGAAAAACTTCACTGGAGATTAGAGTTTCAGATTGGCTTGAGAAATGTGCACAATTTCAAACAGGTCTCTGGAGGTCAGAAGAGAGAGTATTCCTGGCCAATGGATCAGCATGAGAAAAGTGAGAAGTGTAGGACATGTAGGAAAACCAACAAAGATCGCCTTGAGATTTGGCTTGAAAACCAAATAACTCCAAAGTCAAATTCCTTGGGAGAGGCAAATAACTTAGGTTTCAACCTTAAAGATTTACTGAGCATTTACTGTGTGCAGGACAGTAATGTTCTAAGTAATGGATATAGAACTTTGATCAAAGCCAAAAATATCTCTGCTTTCAAGTTACTTATGGAACTTATTGCCTACTGATGTCTTAAGTCTCTGAAGTGGCTGTATTTTATTTACCTTTAAACCATTATATTCATTTAAAATATTATATTCATTTAAAATATTATATTCACGTGGTTTAAGAAAAGTAACTAGTAAACAAGGGCAAAGAAAAAAGTAGAAATCTCTCACACCCTCTCCACCCAACCACCAATCCCTCTTCCCTGAGATAAGGACAATTGACAGATTCTTTCACGTCCTTCCAAAAATCTATGCTGTACAAACATATAGTACACACGTGTCATTATAGCAAACCCATAAACTTGCAGCTTGCTTTATTGACTTAATATATCTTGGAGATCCTTCCATGTCAATACATGGAAGTCTATCTCATTCTTTTGAAGAGTCACATAGCATTCTATTGTACTTCATATTCCATCTGTGTCTAGTGAAAGACACAAGTTTTTTTTCCAGAAGTTTTGCTCACTGTGCACATCTGCAAGCCTATCTGTGGGATAAATTCCTGGAGGTGGTAATACAATGTGTACTTTTCAAGAGATTGTACTCAATATTCTTGAGGAAGTAGAAGTTCTACCAACAAAGAGACAGATCTTCACAGAAAAGAAAGAAAATTTATTTCTTATGAAGTAATTACAACAGAGTACATGCATATGTGTCAGAATGAAATGTCACACAACTTATACAGCAAAGAGAAAAAAATTTCTCCTATCTCCTCTAGAGACAAAGGGTTATAGACAGATCATATATAGGCTATAAGATGGACAGGCTTCCCACGTGGTTCAGTGATAAAGAATCTACCTGCCAAGTGGGAGATGAGGGTTTGATTCTTGGATCAGGAAGATGCCCTGGAGAAGGAAATGGCAACCCACTCCAGTATTATTACCTGCGAAATCCCGTGGACAGAGGAGCCTGGCGAGCTACAGTCTATGGGGTCATAAAAGAGTTAGGCAGAACTCAGCAACTAAACAACAGCAATAAGGTTGACACTAGAGGTGTTCACAGTTCAAGTGGCTTGGAGGCCTTCAATCTTAAGAAATGTCTCTGTTATAAACCAGAAGCCTGGTCTTGTCTAGCCCCTGGAGAGATCTATTTCCATTTCACAATTTTAGAGTAAGGAATGTATTCTAGAAATTCTAGATGTATTCTAGAAATGTATTCTAGAATATTCTCATGTATTCTAGAAAGAAGAGAAAGCAACTGCCTTCTTTCCCTTTATAAACAAAGAAAACTCCTTTTATTTAAAAAAAAATAAATTATCCTTACAATACCACTCTACTTCCCCACCAAGAGTTGAATTTAGGGGTAGTGATTGGTGGTGATGGTGGTAAGGTTTTAGGTTTGCTTTCACTCCAGATAAAATACAGGGATGAACTGAAATGCCCTGTGATATTTCCCTCTACCCAACTTACTCTCTCCAATGCAGTCAATTATTTATCCAAAGAAGTCGACTGAGCAACTTCTCCAGGGAAAGCCCTAGGCTAAGTTGTAAGGGAAGAACCCAAGTGGACAATGTGGGAGCCCTGTTTTCTGAGAATCTCTAAGTGGGAGAGGGGAGGCCCAAACCCTCACGTGCTTGAATCTGGGGCAGAATGGCAGTAAATGTGGGCTTCCCAGGTGGCACTTGTGGTAAAGAACCCACCTGCCAATGCAGCAGATGCAAGAGATGCAGGTTTGATCCCTGGGTGGGAAGATCCCCTGGAGGAGGGCATGGCAACTCACTCCAGTATTTTTGCCTGGAGAATCCCCAAGGACAGAGGAGCCTGGTGGGCTACATCCAGAAGGTCAGAAAGAGTCAGACACGACTGACGTAACTTAGCATGCATGCACTGCACTCAATGCCATAAACCAGAAGAGAGGAAGACAATTTCTGCTCAGGGTGAGGAAGGGGTTTGCAAAAGAGGTTAAAAGGGAAGCCGAA